CGTCGCATCAAGGATAGTAAGTCAAGCGTGTTGTTGTGTCTTTTCCTTGTGTGCGGTCACGTTCCGCGTGCTTCTGCCGCTGCCTTCTGGATTGAGGCTTCAGTCTCTCCGGAGGCGTGGGTTTGAATCCCACTGCTGCCCCCATGCTGTGTTCGGCCTGCAAGCCACGCAGGAGTCCATTGCTGGACCAGACCAGGACTGATTTATTTACAACGAGCATGTGCATACAATGAAGTAGCTTGCATGAAAAGTGCGTAGCGTTCACACCTGTATGCTAACCCGCACTACAACCCTCAACTCTTGTTATATGGCTGTATTGTTTTCGCTATTTATAGTTAGTTTTCTTTGTTATGATTTCTTTTTTTCTTTTTCTTTTTACCAGGCGTGGGCCTTCCCCTGAATTCATAGGTGCCAAACATTCTTTTTTCTTTAGTTTTCTTTGTTATGATTTCTTTTTTTCTTTTTCTTTTTACCAGGCGTGGGCCATCCCCTGAATTCATAGGTGCCAGACATTCTTTTTTCTTTCTTTTTCTTTTTACCAGGCGTGGGCCATCCCCTGAATTCATAGGTGCCAACTCTTAAAAAAAAAAAAAAAAAAAAAACTACAACTCGCGTACTATACAAGGGACTAGTACTGCGCAGTAGGCACGCATTCAAATAAGCTGTAGACATGCACTGCATAAATCTCCAAGTCCTCGTACAAACTGTGCAGTGCTGCAGACAAGAGACAGTACGGAGAGAGACAATACTGCGACAAACATTATTATACACTCCACTTTTTTCATTGTTTCTGCTATGCTAACGGCTGTGTTCTTATTGCCACTCTGCTGTGTGTAGCTTCTTGAACGGGCCAAAGAACATTCAAGATCCTAACACGTCAATAAAGATGCCGCGTATCTTTGTGAACACAACCGGTGGAGACGACATGGAAGAGCTCAATCTCCTCGTGTACCATGTACGTCCTTTACGGGTTTGTGTGTGTGTGTGTGTGTGTGTGTGTGTGTGTGTGTGTTTGTGTGTGTTTTTGTTCCCTCTGGGGACGGTTTGAATTTTCCGAGCTCCCTCTGGTTGTCGAAAGTAGTTAGTTTCACGAGTCTTCTGGGGCGGCTCTGGTCCACCAGGGCCGTCCCACGACATGTAATTATCAGCGCAAGAGATTCAGGGCCAGCGCAACAAGAAGACGGGGTGTCGAACAATGGCACCACTTCTTGTTGCGCCTGAATCTCCCACTCGCAGCGGATTGGCAAACCCCCGAGTGGACAGAGACCATCAGCGCTTCAAAAAATCTGCCCAAGCACGGAGAGAGAGGAGGAGACGCTGCTTGATCCGCGTCGGATCCTGGAATGTTCGTTCTCTCGTTGAGAGCGAAGGGAGCATTGAAACGACAAGTATTCAAAACAAGGTTGTTGAAGACAGGAAACTGGACCTCGTCATCTCCGAACTACATCGACTCAGCTTGGATGTCGCTGGTGTACCAGAAACACAAAAAGACCAAAGAAGTGTGTGTGCGTGTGTGTGTGTGTGTGTGTGTGTGTGTGTGTGTGTGTGTGTGTGTGTGTGAGGGCGGGCAAGTGTGCGTCAGGCAGGGGTGCCTTTCACTTTCCGGGCCATGCGCCATGCAGAATTGCTATTTCCAAGTGGAGTGTGCATGTGTTGATATGCAGCTACCAACTTGTGCGTATTCACTGTCACATTCACTTGTTTCCAAGAGAATGTGCAAGGTAACTGCCGGCGATTGATGAGCTGTGTCATTTTACTTTTGCTTGTGTGTACATGTGTGTACGTGCGTGCGTGTGTGTATGGGTGTGTATTATGTGTATGGGTGTGTCTTTTTGTGTGTGTGTGTGTGTGTGTGTGTGTGTGTGTGTGTGTGTGTGTGTGTGTGTGTGTGTGTGTGTGTGTGGCTGTGTGTCTGTGTGTTTTTGTGTGTCTGTCTGTTTCCGTACACACATGCTTTCCCTTTCGTCACAGGCCATGGGAGCCACTGTCTGTTTCATGATTGACGGTAAGACACGTTTGCGTAGACAATACTCCTGACAGTCGCTTGTGCCTGTGGGATTGGATCTAGATCTAGAAGCTGTGTGCTCTCTTCGGCGCTAATAGGGCTTGAAAGTGATGACATCAAAACGGCCAGGGAGTAGTAATTTGACATCAGATTTCTATTTTGGATCCACTAAGGTGTGACTTTGCTATTGCCTCAGTGTGTGAGTGCATAGCAACCCACGCATGTTGTATGCAAGTGTGACTTTTTCTTCGCCGCCAATTGTCACCCTACCCCCATTAGCCAACCCAGTCAATTTCACCGGTTACATCACCTTGCTGAGTAAGACCGCTTGAAATGTGCTTGGATCCATACAAAAACTGGATCTAAGTGGATCCAGTTTTTGAATTTTTGAAATTGTTGCTGTGACGTGGCACTTTCAAGCCCTATAGCTGTGCTCTATGCCGTTTGCTGCTCAGTATTCCATCAAGTCAGTAAAAAGATGTGAAGAGAATACCGTAGTGTCTTGTATTAATTAAAGCCTGTCTCATATAGAAGCCTGTTTTGAATATGAGCCTGCTTTTCAAGATACACTGTCGGCACAGTAGCCTGGTCTTAGTGTTGGCACACATAGAACTACCTGGTTTGAATAAAAGCCTGATGTGAATAGAAGCCTAGCCCTGACATCGGCTTCTACTGGAATAAGCCCGGCTTCAATACGCGACATAACGGTACACTATAGAATTGAATGAAGAACTCCGTATATCCTTGCTCAGCGCTGGATTGCTCCTGTTGCAAACGGAAGGATCCACGAGCGGGATTCGAACCCAGCAGCACCCCTGTCTTTCCGGGACAGTGCTCTACCGATTAGGCTACCGTTATCACACACGCGCGCGCACACACAAACACACACACACACACATACACACATTCATGTACACACACACACGCACACAAACACGCGTGGATCCTTGCTACACTCCCTTGTATTTCACCTGTGTCGTCATGGAGACTGTGGAAACGTGTAATTTTGCCCTGCCCCCCCCCCCCCCGTATCGTCATGGAGACTGGGTGCTATTCAGGGGACATGACTATATCACTGCTTCGTATGTACCTTTTAATGGAGCCGATGCCACCCGAACTGCGGACAACGAAGCCATATTATTTAGTATTAAAATACTTTTCTGTGTGTTGTCTCTCACATCTCCCACCTGTGTAGGCTCTGGTGCACCGTCTTATGAGTTTTGTAAGCGTCTCGACACGTTTGTCGGCCCGCATCTCTCCAGCCTGGCCAAGATGATCACCGACTACCTGCAGAGTAGGCGACCGGCAAGGTATGCTAGGGTACTATTGCTGAACCCCCTAGACCCACGGGGGGGGGGGGGGGGCGTAGGCCCATTTCATCAGCACATTGCTGCGACTCCCCGCTGTATTGTCACAATCTGCACAAGGCCGAATGCTGCTGCTACTAACCCATGTTAAAATTAATGTTATGGAAAGTCCTGTGTACAGTAAGACCTGTAAATAAAGACCACCGTGACTAGCGACCAGCCTGGTATTGCAGACCACTTTGTCAGGCACGCACGGTCTCACACCTGCCACTAAAGACCGCTTTCTCTGGCCCCCTTGCAAGGGGTGGTTGTTAGTCACAGGTTTTACTGTACTTGTTTATTGTGTGTTTGTGTACAGCACTGACAGCCAACACCGCTTTATCTACTTTAATCATATGAACTTAGCACAGAAGAGCAGTGTACACAGTCGCAAGTCTCCGTTCGTCACCATCTCGCAGGATCTGATGCGCCTGCTAGCGGATATCAACTCCGACTTTCAAAAGTAAGGTCACACGGCCTGGCGTCCACCGTTCGCTGTGTGTGTGGGGGGGGGGGGGAGGGAGGGGTGTGTGTGTGTGTGTGCGTGTGCATGTGTGTGTGTGCGCATGTGTGTGTCTGCGTGCATGTGTGTGTCTGTGGCCTGCAGAGTGGGATCTGTCTTCCTTGGCTTAATATACAGTGGGTACAAGCGGATACACGGATGTGGCAAGTCAGGGTTTGGATACCCGTGCCGTTGGGTCCTGACTTGAGACTTATCAGACCTCACTGCCCGCCGCTTGGGCACCGGATACACCAGATACACTACAGGCAGACCTAAATTATCCCGTCCTCTCTTATCCGGATCCCTCGCCATCCGGAAGAAGATCGTTGGTTACCGATTTACAGCATATGTAGTGCATACATACAGCGTGTGTGTTCGATTATCCGGTTCCCTCGCCTATCCGGATATTTTTGTGGAAAACTGATATGTGCGGTTATGCGAGGTCTGACTGTATTGAATAGGGCTGCTTGATTATCGGACCACTTGATTTAAAGATGGTGTGTAAGGTTTTTCATGTAATGAAGTGGCTGTAGTGGAGCTTGCGCACGTCAAGACGTGTCAAGAATGCTGTACAGGGCATTGCACAGTCGATCTACGCTCCAATAGAAACCTTCCTCAAAATGGGAGCGAAATCGGGAGGATCGACACATCGTTGGGGTTTCGCACACATGCCATCCTCGACTCATGTGCACCTGTTGCCTACACGCGACGTTGTCTGTACACCATGCAGGTCTAAGGAAGACGGTGAGACGGTCATCAAGACGATGACCGACTGCTGGGTGGTGGGAAGACGCTCGGACCAGCGAGAGTTCTTTGTCGTGCTCAACCAGAAGAATGCAAACTTGATTGAAATCAGCGGTAAGTCTGCGGTGGGTGCATGCGTAGTGTTTGGATGCACAGCGCACAGCGCTTTGCGTTTGAACTTCATTTTCTTGGCACAACGAGAAGGGTGAAGAGTGCCAGAGTCAACCCTTGTTGCTGCATAGATTTGAACCTGTGTTGAATGACCACCTCTGTTCTGAGACCAGCCATTTCAGCACCCAGACCATTGTTGCTACACAGATTAAACCTGGTATATGCTGTTTCCTGCTTGTCCACGCTGTCATCATGAAAACATGTTACAGATTAAACCTGTGTTGCAGGACCACCTGTCTTATGTGACCAGCCATTTCAGCACCCAGACCCTTGTTTCTGCATAGTTTTGAACCTGTATTGCAGGACCACCTGTCTTATGAGACCGAGGTATTCTGTGCTGCGACATTAGGTGGTGGTAGTTGCTATAGAGGAAGTGCAATGCACGTCACATTGTACATTTGACACTCAAAGTTCTTAACCCATAAATGGGCATGTTGCCACTCGGCTAGCTCCCATGTAGGGAGGATTGTATCTCCTCCATACACTGTAACACAGCGTAGTCAACTTCTACACTCATATCTCTCTTATCCGGGGCGGTCTGGTGCATGTACAGCATTCTCATGTTGCTGTCTGTTCTCTCTGTCTGCCCACAGAGGAAGTGAAAAGACTGTCTGCTACCAACTTCAACAACATTTTCTTCTTGGATTAGTGTTGCCGGTGGATGGAACCGGCGACCACCCGCATGTGGCTAGCGGCGGGGGAGAGGCTGTGGGCTGTCGCCGACTGCGGTGAGTATTCCCGGAGAGAACCGAGGATTGAAGGTGGCGCTCGTGCTGTACAGCACACGCGCGCGCATCTGTATTCGCACCGCGCTTATTTTGGCAGCTTGCCCTCACCTATTGAGCAGTCCGCTTGTTACAGCCGAGGTTCAATACCCACACCCCTCCTCCTCCCGGTTGACAGCCAGCACTGCTGCCAACACACACCATTGGTTTCTAAAACGTGCCCAACGCCGCCATCGGCATACGTCTCTTGAAGTTGCAAGCCGTGTTCAAACCTGTAAATATGTTGCGCCTCGGCCTTGCGCCCTGCTCTCGTCTATATTGGAACATATCAAGCTGCATTCGCTCGTTGTACAGTTCTTGTAAAGTCTGGCTGGTTTTCGTCGAGTTTTCTGTAGTTTTTGTGATATCATTCGGAGTTACTCATGAAATTGCCCCGTTTTACATGTTGTTCCCCCCCCCGATTATGTTAGTACATGTACACAGAGTGGCATGGCTACTGCTTCACACAGCTTGTGTACAGCATGCCTAGATCAGTGTGCTGTTGCTCTGATCTCACTGCACTGTCGTACAGCAAGACTTAGTACAGGGACTTACCCAGCACTTCTCTGTGTCGCTCTCGGCAACAAAGGAATTTTTGAATATTTTGCGTACGTTTTATTAAAACTCTTGTAAAGATCATAACACTTCATGCGATCACTATCATGATATCAAGTGTACAACCGTGAACGGATGCACCTCGCAATGTGCTGAAGAGTGCTCGCATGCCACGGGGACAGAGATTTTATAGTTTTTGGTACAACGGATTAATTGTCAGTGGGCTGAGGCATCAGGCTGGTTTGGTGCAACTCTGACCACTGTACCGCAATCATCTGACCTATTTATAGGAGAGGTTCTGCTTTTTCTAATCTCAATCCCTTTCTCACGTTAGGTTAACTTTGCAATAAATAGTCGCCGGAAGTTGCCGACCGCCATCTCCCTCCCTGGCGGTGGATGATTTCGTCAACTAATTACTTACTTGGCTGGAGCAGTGGAAGTGATAGTTCAGGATGCCTGGAGCTGAGGTGCGCGGCTATTGATCCGAAGCGAATCCATGGCACTCTTTGAAATCTTTCACTTTAATAGGGGTCGTCGCGGAAGTGTTTTTGTCGTCCCTGAAACGAACATCATTCGTTTCGGGGGGGGGGGGGGGGGTGCGAGCCAAAATCACAAGTCGACAGACTCTGTACACATGTATGCGATTTTCGTCGTCCAGCATAGCAAGCTACGTTCTTTTCAGAGAGAGAGAGAGAGAGAGAGAGAGAGAGAGAGAGGGGGGGGGGGGGTCCGAGTACGAAATGAACGATGTTTGTTTCATGGACGACAAACCACTTTTGCGATGACCCCTTACTGTACACTGCACTTCATGGACATTGTAGTACATGTACCTTGCCGAGTACCTCCTTACCGAGTCCCAGCACTCACATGATCCTTCTGAAAACATCTCTCTAGATTCACCATGCAATTTTCCTTAACCAGTTTTTATGTCCGGCACCTGCGTTCCCAGTACGAGCCAAACATTACTGTGGCATTCACAACGCAATGTACTTTTTTTCTTTCCAATGTACTGGTATGTGTGACATCACGAAATCCAACACGGCTGTTCACACACACAGCATGCATGGGGCTCTGTTACCAGTGGTTAGTGGTTACTCCAAACCAGAAGAAACACAATGAAGTCTCGTCACAAACAAAAAACTTGAAAAAAGAAAAGCAAACACGGACACACATGAACACTTAGACTATAACTTAGTACGAGGTGAATTGCTATTTCTGAACATTGTACATTTCTGGACATTTCGAGTAAAATAATTTTTCGTCGCGTGTAGAGTCAAGTCAGTCAGGTTGATGAAGTTTTTTCTTGCTGTAGTTGACAGCTGGGCTGTTGTAGTTTCTCCTCGTGTCGGTGCCTTGTTGATAGCCTTTGCTTGTGCATGTGCGGCATTTCAACGGGTTTTGTTGTACTATGTCGCATGAGAATTTTGAATTTTGAGTAAAATAAGAAGTAATGGACGAATCGTTGGCTTCCCCATGTGCACTCCACTTCAGACGCTGCATAGTCTTGGACCTGTTGGCTGGAAGTGTGAAGAGGCCAACTGCAGTCCACCAATAGAAAAAATAACAAAAATGGTGCAGTATAGGATGCCTATTGACGCTATTTTACTTTCATGTCCAGAATTCCATACACTGAAATTTAGGCCAAAATATTGGCCTGTCGAAAACGTCCTGCTATAAAGTCTCTGGGATCACAGCATGAGCAATTGTCACATATTTGGAAAGATGAAGGATTAGACCATACAATAGATACAAAAAGATATGAAAAATGTGAAACACACAGCCAGTGGGGCTCTATTTTATTTTCATGTCCAGAAATTGCTATTCACCTCACCAAGCAGCAAGCGCGCAGCAAGGAAGTGATGAATGTTATACAAGTAAAATTAATAGTCTCGCGAGATGTGGACTTCCGGCACTGCAAGGGTGTGGAATAACTCATTAGCAGCATGCATTGCAAGCAATGTACAAGAACGCAGCAGAGCAAACGAAATCCTGCACCGAGTGAAATACGTGACCTAACAGTCCACCGTGCCAACCTCATACTCGTCGGTGATTTTAAAGTGCATATAAAGCGCAATTGGCGCCATAGCCCGAAGACACATGCACAGCCCACTTTCTTACGCAGCACGTCCAGTGCAGTGTCGTACTCACGGGGACAACACACTGGACCGGGTGATGTCCACGTTCAACTCTCCAGTGGCCCCACAGATAGTGCTCCCTCTTGGTCGATCCGACCACGCTGTAATTCTTTCGGACTTCGAGGCGTTCTTCCCTCCCATGAACCGGCGGTGGAACGAACTGTCTGGAGCTACGAAAAGGTAGACTGGAACCACCTCCGATCCTTTCCCCGCCAGGTTGACTAGTCAACCATCATTACTGCCAACCCAGAAACTTCCTGTCAGCAGGTTACTGCCACAATCACGTTTCCCAGTTCGTCCCGTACACGACACTGACTGTGAAGTCAACAGATCCAAAATGGCGGACACCTGATTGTGCAGCCGCAATGAAGGAGAAGAACAAACGCTGGCGTACTTGGAGGAAACACCCTCACGACTTTGTACGGAAACATGAGTTTACCCGTTCTGTAAACAATGCTATTGCAGTCCTGACTAGATCCAGAGTTTTCAAAGAGAACAGCCTCAGACATACATAGCTTGTCCAATGGGTTCCTGAAGGAGAAGGAATGGTGGACGAAGCTAAAGTGCGCTTGTGGCGAGGGTCGGAACTCTGACATTCCCCTGCTCGTTGATAGTGAAGGTTGCGAGAGGGCCCCAAGTTATGAGAAATCGGAGGCTTTCGCACGTTTCTTTTCCAACAAATGCAGTGTACAAGGCCGCAACCTTACTACGATGGACTTACCGGACACGACACACCTGCACCAACAACAGTCCACTTTTGTCCCGATGCAGTCCACCGGCTCTTAGCTCGTCTGGATGCCTTAAAGGTGACGGGACCTGACGGTATCGCCCGTGTCTTGAAGGGATGCACCAGAGAACTTGCAAAGCCACTATGTCAGCTCTTTGCTTCCAGCACGGAGTCCAGCCACGAATGTGGAAGACTGCCAGTGTGGTTCCCATCCTCAAGCTAGCGATCTTCACGATCCGCCTTGAAGAATTATCGTCCAGTTTCACTGCTTAGGATAATCTCTAAGATCATGGAGAGCGTTATCAATCGTCAAATCATGAATCACCTTGAGCGTTACAAGCTCCTGCCACTCCACCAGTTCGGGTTTCGTTGCGGCCGCGGGACGTCAGGTGCGTTACAGGCTCTACACCATGCCTGGATCACAGCCGTCGGCAGAGGCGGTGCAGCATATGTATTCTAGCCGTAGATATTGCCGGAGCATTCGACCGTGTGTCCCATGCTGGCCTTCTCCACACAGTCCACCATATTTCGCTCTCTTCCTACCTAGGTGGACGGTCCCTTCAATGCCTGGTGGGCGGCCACACATCATCGATAGACACCATATCGGCAGGTGTTCCCCAAGGGAGCATACTCGGCCCTACAGTCTTCCTGATTTACGTGAACGATGCCCCAGAGGCTCTCTCACCCGGAGCCAGGGAGTCGTAAAATACCATAATGGTATTTTACGACTCCCTGCCCGGAGCCCACCTGGAGGCGTACGCTGATGATACAACCCTAGCTGTATAGCCCTACAAATTTTGTATATCCCTCGACACATCCCCAGCCGACGCTGCATTGAACCTCCAGACTTCTGTTGATCGCTTGCATCAGTGGGGCCGCAGATGGCGCATCTCCTTCGAACCGACAAAAGTCCCAAGCCATGACCGCCACTCTCCGCAGAACCCCCATCAGTTTGCCTCGCACTGTCTTTGGCGGCACTCCTGTCCCGGTTGAGGAGAAGGCTCTCTCTTTACTTGGAGTGACCTTTGACTCGAAGCTGTCATTCAGCACTCATCTCCGGAAGGTTGCCGCTCGAGCCAAACACCGCTTCAATAACATACCTGTACCAATGTTGTGCGTTTGGCAGGCTTTTGCATACGGATGGTCTGCCGCACTGCCATCGAGGGACCCAAATGTAGTGGAGAACACTGTTGGAGAACATTTTGCCGGCACTGCAGCACCAGCTACACTCAACACGTGTTTGGTGCAACACAGGCACTCGTATCTTCAGCTAACCGTTTATGTTCTTCATTGCACTTATTCCGCAAATCAGTACTTGCTTTCCTAGGGTACCCTGTAAAAAGGCATTCGGCCTGTGGGGGATTGCCCTATTAAAAATTTGATAATAATAATAAGAAGAAGAATACATTTGGTGGATATCCGGATAATGCTCGAAAGATTGGCAGATTCAGCTCCAAAAGCAGTGAAATTGCCAGAGCCATACAACCTGTGGCATGCGCTTCCTTGAACTTCTGCTCCATTTCTTTATCCCGGTGACATACCAAACATGGTTGGAACTTGAAACCGTCAATGGTGCCAGAAAAAGTATCAGCTGCCAATGTTTCTGCTGGCATTTATATCTGCCAAGGTTTGTGAAGCAAACCTCCCAAGTTTTCCACTGATCAAGTCCACAAAAGCAAACTTCAGCCAAATGTGCTCTACAAGCTCTGGCGTCATTGTGCCGAACTTTTGTCCTTTGACCTCACGTACAACCCGCTCCCCTTCCTGGATCCCCTAGCCCCTGTGCATGTTGTGGCCCTCCGGCCCGCGCTGATGATGGTGACTCCCTATCCGGATCCCGATCCCAGAGTCTCCATTTTTTTGGTACGATCTTCGCTGTTCGCACGCGCGCGCGCACGCATTGTAACTAAATTACCGATCGTACAGATCGTAGCTACGGTACGGTCGTAGATCTACGATTATTGCAGGATGCATGACTGAGCCGGAGTGCGGGACTCGACTGCGGGGCATGCAGAAAAAAGCACTGTCCATCCATATCCAGTCCAGAGTTGGTCTACGACTCTCCCGTACAGCTGTACGCTGTACTCCAGCTCCCTCCACTTCGCAAATTTTCTCATTTTTCCGCTGCAGGTTGGCAATTGGAGTGAGCACGCAGTGCAGTGCAGGTGAGGCGAAAGGTGAAGGAGTCCTCCCTCGCTGGCACGGCGGCTGATCCGTGCCTATCCCCAGCAGCTGTGACCAGCCATCGAAGGCTTCAAGCTGATGCCACATTGCAAGAGCTGACTTCCGTCGGAACTGAACTTCTCAAGGCTTTGGCGTGGTGCCATGCCATTATTTTATTTTTCGTCGTAATACTCTGGCTTGTCTCTCGCTCTACATCTCTACTTTCTTTCGGCTCTTGTCAGTCTTGACTCTGGTCGTCCTAAGTCTTGCCGAGTCAAGGAGTCGTGAAGCCTGAACTGCTGAAGATCTGTCTCATCGACATCGAGACTCCCTTTCTCCCTGCGTGACGTAAGTATCTGATGATCAAACTCACCTTTCCGTGGGATCTGACCGCCTCGTCGAGCTGAGCGGCACAGCCTGCACTGCACTGTACTGCAGAGTCTGAGGTCGACTCATACCGCACAGAAATGGCCATTGCATTCCGTAGTGCCAGTGGATGGTCGTAGCTGAGTGTGATTTTCTGAATGACTATGTCACGATCATTCATCAATCAATCATCCGTCGACATGGCCAAGATGGTCAAGTCATTCATCAGGCCTGTCGTAGGCATAGTGACCAGGTGACTGTGATTATATTCTTCAAATAAAGCGCCCGCGTGCATCTCAACATCGGCTCAACTGCACGACTTCTCTCCGTTTCATGTCAAGAGCGCGCTGATTTCAGAACAAAAAACGACATCGGGAGCGCGTGTTTGTGTGTTGACTGTTGTGGTGTTCCCCCGCAGTGCAAGCGTAGCTGGGAACTGTTTGGTTTGTTCGTTCCTTCAGCGCCTGGCCGTGCTATGGAGGAGGAAGAACAAGACGAGGAGCCTGTCTTCACCGTGGAGAGGATCCTCAGCACTCGATTGCGTAAGGTAAGTTGGACGAGACTGCTGTTTGTGCACAAGACGACGACGTAACACCGTTGGTTGTTTGTTTGCAGGTTTCCAATAAGATTCGCTTTGTTTTGTGTTGGTTGTCTTTGTCAATGATTATTGTGGATCTACTGACAGTCCTCTGTATGGTTTCCTCCCTGTGGGCCAGCAAGTCTTGATCAGTGCCTTATGATTCAATCATTGTATTCCCGCATCGATACCTGTCGTTGCACCCCCGGTGATTGTGCATCGCGGGGCGTCAAGCTGTGGCCCAGTGTGGGCCTCCGCTCCGCACGGCGAAGTCGTAATGGTTCAATCCTTTCTGTCGTGTCGTGTCCCTGCTCTCGTCCTGAAGTGTAATCGCTTTGTTTGATGTGTCCGAGCGTTCAGTCGCCTTGGAAAAAAGCTTAGCCGCTGGTGACGTTTCCGTAATTGAATGACTCTGCGGAGCGATCTGGATTTTTTAAATTGTTGATGAAGAGAGCTGGATCGGTGATGAACCCGTTGTCTTGTTCCGCTCAATTTATTTGTTCGCCGGGTTCAGACAATGCCTCGCGAATGGAGTGATTGACTGGTGCAGCCTTCTTGCTCCTGAACCGACTCTGAGAGTCAGACAGGCTGAGGGTTTGGTGCCTTTGTGCGGCCCAACTTGAATTGTCTGAATCAATGGACTCTCAGCTCAGCGGATGTCTGTTGATACGGCCAGGAGCAGCGAATGATTAGCAGGAGAACTGAGCTCGCGAGCTGGGCAGAGTTCACTATTCTAACGTGGCTGGATGGCTACTGGCCATCTCTATTATAGTCATCTCCACTGCTTCAGCTGCCATCATCATGTGCCGCCCTGCTATCTCTTGCTGGCATTTGCACCATGACGGTTTGTGGCTATCTTGTAAAACAAATCTGCTTAGGGCTGGGACACTGTCAGGGCTGTGTCGTGATGTCAATGAAGTACTGTACAGGTCACCTGCGACATCTGTCTTGCCTCTTCACGTTCATGCAGAGCTACTGAGCAACAGGTAGACTCTGCCGTGACTGTTGCTGTTGTCTAGCGGCCTGAAACCAGCCTGATTCATCTGTTCTTCTGGACGGCAGTACAATCTCCAGGGAGTTACGTGGCAGTGACGTGACATTGGCTAACCATGGCAGTAGTTGTCGTAATTGCTTTGCGCACCAATCCAGCAATCTCTCTCGCGCGCGCGTTGCCGTTTCGGACTTGCTGGCACTCCTCATTACTTAGACGAGTGTGTTGAATATTCCAGTGTGGAGTGCTGACGTGGTTCTGGGGAATCCCCTTGTTTTGAGAGACCGTCTTCCTTGCGGTTGTGTATGAGGATTCCGCGGATTGCCAGTTCGTATGGCTTTCACTCGTAGCAAGGAAAAATTCAGTGATATGATAGACGTGCTGGTGGTCGGCCAAGCTGTGGATAATTGTGATTGGCATCGAATGCGACAGGTAACCCGTCTACTGTCCCTGTTCCGTATTGTCTGGTCGTATGGCTCAACGGACCTGACGGCATCCCAGTTTATGTCGTAGTGGTGTGTCGTGACAGGCCGTGCAAGTCATCCAAAGCCGGCTTGCGTTTTCTCTCCCACTCGGATTTGATAATTGCGGCGAATTGTTTGTTCACTGCTTTCGCATCTGCCTCCCTTGCATAATCAGGCATGGTGGTGGCCTGGCACGAGCGGAACTTTTCTAAGCTTGTGTTTTTAACACAATCGTAAGCCGGTGGCAACGCGCATGTGCGAGCTTTATTTTACTTACTACTTTCGAAGCACTGGCTGCAGTTGCAAACCTCGTGCAATCATGTTTTACTTTGTCTCCTGTGTGTATAACGCCGTATTCTCCTATCTTGTCACACACGACCATGTACTGCAGTTCTTTCTTTGTTCATCATCACATTCTCCGAAATTATATTTTTGTTTGTGACAAACTCCATAAAGGCGTCGTATTGTGTCGATTCAACTCGTTCTGTCCATAGCGGTACTTACACATGTGTCATCACTTCGTCTTTGTCTCGTGTCCTGGGATTGAGTGACGCGAGCGCCTCTGCCTGTACACTGATCTTGGAGTTGACATTGCTGGATCACGGCTGCCGGAATTCCGAACAATGTGTCGCCACGTCATGGCTGCTCTCCACTCTTATTTCTCAAGACTTCAACCGAGCACTGAATCTTGGAGATGCGTATGGAATTTGGACAAGTTTCCAGAGAGATGATTGTTGTTTTGAATCGTTATTGGCAAGAAGGTCGATAGCCAACAGGATTGAAGGCCTCACAAAGTTTCTAAAACTGGATGTATAGTTTTTGTTGGCCTTCCAAGTTTGTTCTTGTATTTTGTTCTTTTCGTGTTTTTGCTCTAATTTTTACTTTACTTTTTTATCAATGTTCTGCAGCGTGGGCGACAGTATCTTGTCAAATGGGAGGGGTACAGTTCCAAGTGAGTGACCATTGCCGGATCTGTGTGTGTGTGTGTGTGTGCGTGCGTGCGCGTGTGTATATGTGTGTGTGTGTGTGTGTGTGCGGGTGTGCGGGTGTGTGTGTGTTGCGGGCGTGTGTGCGTGCGTGTCTGGTGTGTGTGCGTGTTTATGTGTGTGTGTTTGTGTGTGTGTGCGTGTACCCGTGTGCATGTGTGAGTACATTTGTGTATACATGTGTGTACATGTGTGTGTGTGTGTGTGTGTGCATGTGTGTGAGTTTTTTTTTAGTGTGTGTGTGTGTTTGTGTGTGCATGTGTGTGTGTGTGTGTGTGTGTGTGTGTGTGTTTGTGTGTGTGTGTGTGTGTGTGTGTGTGTGTGTGTGTGTGTGTGTGTGTGTGTGCATTTGAATTTATGTATTTGTGTGTTTATGTTCGTTTTGTCTTTCATTGCATAAACGTAAAATAGGCAAAACTTCATACACGTTAGGAGGAAACAAGAAGAATGGTCAAAGTAGTGAAGGCTGGAAGGGGGAATTTGGCCAAGGAGTGACAACTTGAA